CCATGGAGTTGATTACCAGTCTCATCATGGGGAATAACTACCACCAGCCACTCAACCAGGCCCAGCCAAGTTGACAGACAGTGGTATATAGTAAAATCTTAGCACCCCACATCTACTAAAAATTTTATAATCCAGTTCATCTCATTCCACTAAAATGGCATCCACCAATTTTGCATTCAATTGCTAATCACTCACTCATTCACTCACTCACTGCTGTGGAGTCAGTTCCAACTCATAGTGACTTCTCCTTGGGTTTCCGAGGCGGTATCACTATGGAAGTAGATTGCCCAATTTTCCTTCTGAGGAGTGGCTGGTGGATTTGAACTGCCAGCCTTCTGGTTAGCAGTCAAATGCCTTAGGCACTATACTACCAGAGCTACTGAATTGCACTGAACTCTGAACAAATGAAAACAAGCCTTTTGGACCTCGAAAGCTTTGAGTAAAACCAAACTCTAATATTATAGTAGTATTTAAAAAGAAATGGCATCATAGATAGGTAAGACCATACACATATTGTATATATATATATATATATATATATATATATATATATATATGTATGTAACTCACATAACCTGTTTGAATGCATGAGTAAGCAGAGAGGAGGGCACCAGAGATTATCAGTGTATAGGGCCCTCACATGCCTTAATCCAGCCCTGGTAATAAGCATTCAGGGTGAAAGTAAGCCTTTCATCTTGTCTCTTCCCCCATCCCCGGAGATTACCACACTAATTATCAGCTTCTAATGAACCAGAGATTTTCCAGCCACATATGAATATATGCACCCCATTTTTTTAAAACACAAGTAGTAGGTCTAGCAAACTATATAGGCTATTCTGTACCTTATTGTTTTTACTTAAAATAGATTTGGGGTATTGTCTGGTATCAATGCATCAAGTTCTTTCTCCATATATATATTTTTTTCAACAGCTCCCCTCCCACTTCCTCCCCATAGTTAACTCTTCCCTTTGTCCTTCCCTCCATGTATTCCTGCCCTCCGAGGTACATCCCTGTACACACACAGCCCCTCTATTCTCCCACGATTGTTCTTTGGAAGGAGTGTAACTACCTAGTGTAAATGTTCACCTCATATGCCTGTCTCTTGTTTGGCTGAAAGTCACAGGGGTGGGTTCAATTCCAGACCTCAAGGGCAGCTAGGGGCCATAGTCTCAGTGGTTCCATCAGGCTCTATCAGACCAGCAAACCTGGTCCCTTCTTTTTTCAAATGATTTTGAGTTTTGTTCCACATTGTTCTCCCTGTCTATCCAGGATCTCCTACATAGATATCCCCCTCTGAGTGGTTGACAGTGGTAGCTGGGCACCATCTAGTTCTTCTGGTCTCATAGTCATATAGGCTAAGGATCACATGGTATACCATGCTTGTACTAATTGTTTCCATGAATCTTTGGCTTTCTTCATTCTTCTTTGTTCTGGACAAGGAGAGACCCATCATTGCATCTAGATGGCTGCTTGCAAGCTTTTAAGATCCCAGTTGCTACTCACCAAAGCAGGAGGTGGAACAATGTTTTCTGTAGTATGTTTTGCCAATTGAGCTTGATGTCCCCTGCGACTATGGTCTCGAGCCCACAAGTCCAACTACTCACTCCTCTGGGTAGCTCCATATTTTTAATGACTGCATACACAGCATGATACTGTACAGTGTTAGAATTACTTTGTCCTTTCTCAGGCCTACAGAGACCGCTGAAAACATAAAATTAAAAAAAAAAATTTTTTTTGCTTTATACTGAGACCTCTTAGCTCAAATATGATTTGACTACTCATGTGCCTCTTTAAGAGGAATCTGATGCCAAATCTGGGTTCAAAAATTTTGTGTGTCTGCTCTGCAGAAACCATGAAGGTGGAAGGCTCTTGTGCAATTCCTGTTTCTCTAGTTTTTCCAAGTAATATATGTAATATAAGATTGGAGATCTACAGTTTTCCATTGAACTTTCAAGATGTGTTCCATTTTACAGGAGTTTGAGAATATTTGCGGGGGAGGTAGCAGATTCTTTGGATAAAAAAAAAAAGTGGATAAGGATTTGGCTTTAGTTTTAAATATTTGTCCTCTGAGTTACATTCTTTACCCATTCTTTGTTAGTTGAGCTAGCTTGAGTAAAAAGATAAGGGGAATTTCAGTCTGAACAAAAGGTTCCACTGCTTAAGACCATCTCTACCTCATAATTTCAGGACAACGGAATCCTAGTATCACAATAGCTAAGTGCTCTGCCGCTAACTGAAAGGTTAGGGGTTTGAGCCCAGCCAGCAGCTCTGTGGGAAAGACCCAGCAATCTGTTTCCACAAAGATTATAGCCAAGAAAACCCTATGGGACAGTTCTACTCTGTCACATGGGCTTGCTATGAGTCGGAATCGATTTGACACACCAAACAATACCATAATTTCAGTACATGACATCTCATCATCAGATTCTACATCACAGCATCCTTGCAGCTACAGCCCCTGGTAATAAGGGTCTCATTGTCTCTGTGTATTTCCCAATTCAAGGAGCTGTTGGTGCTGTGGTTAAAGCATTGGGCTGTTCACCAAAAGGTTGGTGGTTTGAACCCACCAGCTGCTCCATGAGAGAAAGATGAGGCAGTCTGCTTCCATAAAGATTTACAGCCTTGGAAACCATATGGGGCAGTTCTACCCTGTTCTGTAGGGTTGCCATGAGTTGGAATTGACTCGATGACAGTAGTATTTTATTTCCCAATCCAAATTTTTGGGAAAGAGAATCAAGCTCAGCACTTTTCACATGAGACCACCAGGTCAAATGAGTCAGGATGATTGTCTCCTGCCCTCCCCCTTTAGCTAGATGTGTGGGCAAGGAGATACTGAGTTCCATGCTTCACCAGCTACCAGCTTTGTCCTCATGGGCAAGCCACCTAAACTCTCTAAGCCTTGTTTCTTTCATAGAAGATGGAGTTTAGGAATAGAACTTGCTTGAGGGTTATTTCGAAGATAACACTAGATCACACATATAAAACCCTTAGCACAGTTTTAGGCACAGAGTGAACTAAGAGTAAATGGAAGCTATCATCATCTTATTATTATGGAAAAGACACTGTACTATGTGATAGCAATATTGGGATAAAAGTCAAGTCTTCCACAGGAAAGGCCACCTTAATTAATCAAGGTGAGTGTCGTGGTAGAGGGCTCAGAGACGGAAGCTTACCCTCCTTGTAGACATGACACAGGCATAGGAGTTGCTTGTTTGTTTTTATTTTTTTCCATTCAGGGCCTAAAAACCAACTGTCATCTAGTTGGTTCTAACTCATAGCAACCTCCATTGGGTTGCCAAAGCTGTAAATCTTTACCGAAATAGATTGCTTCATCATCATTGACCTTCTGGTTAGCAGCTAAATGCCTTCCCCACTACACCACCAGAGCTCCTTCCATTCAGGCCCTGTGCTGTATTTATCCATCCATCCATCCATCTTAGAATCAATTCAGATGTGAGAGGTTGTCTCAGGTTTGCATACTTACTTGAACTGAAAATCAAGACTTATTTGGCAGAAAGAAAGCCTAACTTGGCAGGCTGTATACTCTATTTCTTGCTCTGTATGTCCTGAAAACACTTGATCCCACCTAGCTGCAGTTTCCTCATTTAGTAAAAACGAAAGGAATAAAGAAAAATAGGGATAATAATAATAGTTAATACAGTTATGAAATTAATGCCCCCAGCATATAGTGTTTAATAAGCTTAGATATGATTACTTAATAACATCATCATTTATTTTGTGCTTACTAGGAGCAAGGTATGTTGTTGTTGTTGTTATGTGCCGTCGAGTCGGACCCGACTCATAGCGACCCCTCCTTGGGTTTCCGAGGCAGTATCACTACGGAAGTAGATTGCCCCATCTTCCTTCCGAGGAGTGGTACAGATGATCTCAAATTATTATAGTTGTTATGGATGACTGATGAGATGAGGAAAGGGTAAGTCTGAAATGCCCCCAGGTCTGGCCAGGCACCCCTCCTCCCGAGCCTTATAATGCTCATCTCCAGTACTAAGAACAATGCCCGTCCTCTCAGACAAGTTCTTTTCTCAAACGTGCTCACCCAGTGTCCAATCAGGGTTCCAACTTTCTGTTTTCTCATGCTGTGAGGCACCGGGTCTGGCGCCAGAAAGGTTAACAAGCCCCTCTCCTTCTCCCCTGGGAGTTCCCTAGAGAAAGGTATCTTCCTTAACATATTCGGTGTCCCCAGTTCCCGCCCAGAGCTGCAGACCTCGAATTACACCACTGTGCCTTGCCAATCGAGGTGGCATCTTTTGAGCACTTCCCTTCCTCATCACTCAGTGTATGGGATATCCCAGGAGTGGGACCGGGCCCTAAGATCTCAGAATATCCTTAAACTGTGTCCCAACTCCTTATTTTACAGAAGAGTAAACGGAGGCCTAGGAGAGGGGAAGTAACTGGCGTAAAAATGTTAGGAGCAGGACGGAGACTCAAACCTGGGTCTCCGGCCTCCCGAGCTGGGCAAGGCTGATCTTCGTGACTTCTCTCATCGCTGTGGCGATCCAGGTCCTCTTGGCTCTGGGGACCCCTGACTCTGCCGCTCATGCCGCGGTTGGAGTTGACTGGGTTCTCAAAGGGGCGGCGGGGCTCCCTGACGACCTGGAATAGTTCGACTGTAGGCCTGTCGGGGGAGGGGGAGCCCGGGGCTAGTGGAGGGAGGCTTGCAGAGAGAGGGTCGCTGGCGCGGGGGCCAAGTCCTGGCTGGGGTGTGGAGAACGAAGCAGGTAACTCAGCACTTGGAAACCCTTTAGGGCGTCTCAACACGAGAGCAGCGGCCACCACACAGCTGCGCGATCCGCCCCAAACCACTGGCCCGGAGGAGCGCAGTCGGCCCCGCCCCCTGGAGCTCCGTTCCCCCGGCAGCCGACGCTGCGCACAGTAAGCTGATCCCTCCCGGCGGGCAAGCGGCACCCAAGCCGCCAGTGCAGCGCGGTCTCCGCGCCGACTATGTGTTAGGCTGTGGGCTGCCGGCCGCTCGCTGCAGCATGGCTGGGCCGGTGCAGCTGGCGCCTGGAACGCTGGCGCTGGTTCTGTACAGGATGGAGCCTCACGAGGGGGCGACGGCGGCTGGGGACGCGGAGGAGTCCGGCGGGCGCGCAGTTTTCCGCGCCTTTTGCAGTGCCAACGCACGCTGCTTCTGGAACGCAAGGCTGGCGCGCGCCGCCTCGCGGCTAGCCTTCCTGGGATGGCTGAGGCGCGGGGTGCTGCTGGTGCACGCTCCTCCAGCCAGCCTGCAGGTGTTGCGCGATGCTTGGCGGCGCCGGGCGCTGCGCCCGCCGCGCGGCTTCCGCATCAGGGCGGTGGGTGAGTGCGGGGCCCTGAGGGGAGGGGCGCCCGCGCTAGCTTCCTGGACTGAGTCCCCGCGCGAACTCCGAGGGAGCGGGTGGGAGGACCGGAGGACGGCATAAGCGGGCGGGAGGCCAGCTGGGTGGCTGGAAGAAGAGGAACTGGCCTCTCAAAACGTCCAGGAGACATTCCTTCCTGCTAGGCCAGACTTCGTCACTTGTGCTTTGGTCAAGTTGTCAGAAGAGACCAGTCCCTGCAGAAAGATGTCACGCTAGGTAAAGTTAGAGGGTCAGCGAAAAAGGGAAAGACCCTCACGAGATGGACTGACACAGTGGCGGAAATACGGGCTGAAGCATAGCAAGGATTGTGAGGACGACACAGGACCCTGCAGTGTTACATTCAGTTGTACATGGGGTCGCTGTAAGTCAGAGCCTACTTGCCCGGCAACTAACACCACCAGGACACTTTAAGGCCCAGGCCCCTGAGATGTACCCATCCAGGATGCCTCCGTTCAGCAACTCTTTCGCCCTGCTGAGCGCACAGGTTCCTGGCAGGAGAAACTTAGTACTCAGAAAAGTGATGCTCGGGTGAAGAAAGAAACTTTGGGCCCGGGGAATATGAGCTGCAGGCAGGAGACAGAGGCCCCTAGCCAGGCCTCGTGGGAACCCTGGAGAAGGGTACCTCGGGCTGACCAGAGTCCGCCAATTTTTAACTGGTGAAACATAATTGACAAGTGGCGCCCTGGAGACCTCCCATCCCATCAGCTAGATAGTGTTCTGCCTTCCCATCTTCCCAGAGAGCCTGTTGCAAAAACAGCTTTTCATTTGGGAAACTAAACCACTGCCCCGTTGAGTAGTCTCTGATGCTAGCACCTGAATTCTGGTGGACATTTCAGTTCTTTGTACCCTGGTTCTGTCTGTCTGCCCTTATGTGGGGTTGTGACACGCCATTTGATGATGTGCTGTTGACAAGTCACCAGTTGTTCCAGTCCCGAGTTTTGACACCTAAGGATTCCCTCTCTTGTCTTAATCCATAAATCACCATGTTCTTCCATCTGAGGAGAAGTAGCAAATAAAAACAAACGAAAAAGCAAACAAAAACCCATTTGTTCCAGTCCTCAGGGTCAGGGCAGCCGGAGACTCCTGATAATTGTGTATCAACTGCTTAGAGATGGTGTCTTCACATCCCAGATGGGCCTGGTCAGTGAGGTTAAAATCCTGTGGTTGCTCATCTCCATGCATTTTTAGTTGGTCCCTGTTTTGTTTGTTTTCCTTTTTCTTCCCTGAAGAGCAAAAAAAAGTTAATTGCAAAGCCACATATACACATTTCATAACTACTTTTACCTGCATGCCTGAGTGAAGAAAGTAGATTTCTGGCTCTCAGGGCAGTGAGTCAAATAGCCAAACTGAAATCCCCACAGGGGGAAGGGGTCTTCACAGAGAACCCTTTTCAGTCTTTGGTTTTTCTGGTTTGAATTAGTGGCCACATTCTCTGGTTTCCCCACCCCTTTTCAGAGGGGAGCTTAGAGTGCATTGCAGAGAGAGGGTGGGACAGAGTGGGGTCTAGACCAAGGGGTGAAATATGAGAGGGCTTGTGCTAATCCAGAGGAAGCTATAAAGCCTTTTCTTGGGATCCAGCAAAGCAGTTGTCAATGCTGGTTTCTGGGTTGGTTGGCCCTGTTTGCTGCCATCTGAAAGATGCAGGGGACAGAGAACACATCCCTCAAGGGCCCACTAGGCATCACTGGTGTTGCCGCATTGCATGGCCCCAGGATGTGGTGGGCTCTGTTTTCAATGGAGTGTGTAACACCATTGTCTTTATTGCATCTAGTCATCACCTGACTTGGGTCTCTTGGCAGGAATGATTTTGATGTTTTTAAAGGAGTTTGGATAATTTGGACATTTAGCTGAAGTCTGAACAAAAGTACTGGTAAGGAGTGAAAGGGAAGAGATCTTATTTAATGCTAGGTAGTGTAGTGCCTAAGGCATTTGACTGCTAACCAGAAGGCTGGCGGTTCAAACCCACCAGCCACTTCTGGGAAGGAAGGTTGGACAATCTACTTCTGTAGTGATACTGCCTTGGAAACCCAAGAAGGGGGATCGCTGTGAGTCGGATAGGACTCTAGGGCAGTGGTTTTTTTGTTTGTTTGTTTGTGAATGCACATGGTGGGAGGGAGTTTTTGTTTTGAATAGAATTGCTAATACTACTCTAACATGGGGTCTCTGAGTCAAATCAAGAGACAAGGCATCAGGGCACCTGTTGGGTGTGAAGGCAGGAAAAGCCGCCCACTCCCAAAGCAAATTTTCATTAGGCTTGCTTTCCTGATAGAAATGGACTGCAGGACAGCCAGGGCGGAGCTGCTGTGGACAATTGCATGTTTTGCGTGTTCTCACTTCATTCTCAGTTATTTTGTGGGAAGGAACAAAATGTTAGCGAAGGCAGCAAAGGATTCATTTGGTCAGATCAATTTTTTTTTTTCTGCCATCCCCTCCTCGCCCCCCAAAGGTTGATTTACTCCTGCTTGAGCCTATTTGGGCATAGGGAGCACTGCTGCCCAGCTCAGACAGAAAATACAGAGAGAGAAAGAGGCATGGCTATCACCTTTATAAACCCAGCTGTACTTTACTGTGGCCTTCTCCCAGCCTTTGGACCTGGGGCTCACGGGGCTTCATAAGGCGTGAAGAGGGAGTGCCCGGGCCAAGCTGACTAGAGTGACCTGAGGCCTGGGTACAGAGCTGAACTCATGGGGGAGTTTAAGGCTGTGCTGCAGTTTATTTTCTCCACCACATTTTGTGCCTTTTCTTTCCCTCTTCACCTTCTCTAAGGAGCTATGGTGGTGCAGTGGTTAAGTGCTCAGCTGCTAACTGAAAGGTCCCTCTGAAAGGTCCCTCGATTCAAACCCACCAGCTGCTCTGGGAGAGGAAAGATCTAGCGATTGCAGCTTTGGAATCCCTATAGGGCAGTTATACTCTGTTATAGGGTCACTATGAGCTAGAATCAACTAGATGGCAATGTGATAGGTGCTTTTTTTTTTTTTAATGGTCACTTTCTCTACTCTAACTTCCCTTTGATGCGAACAACAGATCTTAGACAGAAACAATAAACGCTTAGAGAGCATTTCTCTAAAAAGCGGGACCTTGGATCCTTGAGAGGCTTTTTTTTTTTTTGTCATTAACAAATGAAAGGGGTGAGCTCTGGAAGCTGGAGGGAGATGGCTGCTAACTGGGCTGAGCCACTGTCGGGGGTGGCTGTGGGGGGAGGGGTGGCAGTGGGGGACACCCGTATTTGTTTGGGTGAACCTGTTGTTACCAAGAGACTACATCCACTGGGGAGGTGAAAGGTTAATACTGGGAGGCCAAGGAATGGCTTCCTGGGGTGAGGAAAGGAATGCCAATTGGCCAAACAAGTTCCCTTCTCCTGAAATTTGTAGCTGAAATTTATAAACCACCCTTTCACCCCTAGCACGGCTTTCCATTTTTTCTCATTGCATAAAAAGGCCCCCATTCCCATGGCATAAAAAAAAAAAAAAAAAAGAAAAATTTGTTTCATGAATTCATTCATGTACCAGACCAAGTTCTAGGTGTTTTTGTATTTTAGTGCATCTTTCATTCAGCGTTGCGTGTGCTTAAGGAAAAAATGGAGCCAGCTTCTTTCTGCCACATTCAGTTCAAGAGAGTACAGCTGAGTGGGAGGCCATATTCTGGGAGCTGGCTGGTTCACACTAAGGCTTTTCCATCCACAGTGACATGTGTGGGCCCTGCAGATTCTATAGTTCTCTGGTGTGTGCTTTGGAGACTACTGAAGATCAGACAGGTCTTGCTGGCCAAGGGGAGGTGATGGGAGGCTCTTCCCACCTCTTCATATGCCTCTCTTACCTGTTCCTGAAACACTTCTGAGCACAGCCTTCCAATCACAGAAAACCCACTGCCATGGAGTCGGATCCGACTCATAGCAACCCCTCCTTGGATTTCTGAGGCAGTGTCACTACCAAAGTAGATTGCCCAACCTTCTTTCTGAGGAGTGGCTGGTGGGTTTGAACCGCCAGCCTTCTGGTTAGCAGTCAAGTGCTTTAGGCACTATGCAACCACAGTTTCTCCAATCACAGATACCAAGGCTAAATTGCCAGTGCCCAATGAGAGTAGAGGCCAGTCATTAATTTATGCCAGGTGTAAATGACTCATCTCAGAATCTATTCTGAGATCTGATTTGTGAAAGAAGATAACAGTTCAAAAGTACCTTGTGTCTGATGGTGCAAGACTTGGTCAAATCTCTGAAACTTTGTTCTGATTTATCCTGTGACTTAGAGAATGGGGGTAGGAGTGTGTCTGGAGGTGGTAAGTATAGGGAGTGACCCAACTCCCGTTCTGCCTTGCTTCTGAAGTTCTGCCTTGAATGGCAGCAGGGCATCTTATAGGATTTAGGGGCTCTGAGGGGTTAAGTAGCTAATTAGATAAGTGTTCCATTTGATGAATTTTAAAAATGCATACATGTATGTAACCCAAATTCCTATCAGCATTTAGAACATTACCATCACTGCAGAAAGTTCCCTCCATGCCCCTTCCCAGTCAGTGGAATCCTACCCCCAGGGGTAAATACTGTTCTGCTTTTTCTTTTTACCATGAATAGGTATTGCTTGTTTAAGAATTTTGCATAAATGGAATTACACAGTATATACTCCTTTGTGTGAGGATTCTTTCAGTCAGCTTAATGTTTGCAGTTTCTTTTTTGTGTTACTAGCTCATGTCTTTTTGCTACTTAGTAGTATTCCATTGTATAACTATACTACAGTTTACCCACTTTCCCCTAGATGGACCAATGGGATGTTTTAAGTTTATGGCTATTATGAATAAAGTTTCTATGAATATTTATGTACAGGTCTTTTGTAGACATAGGCTTTTATTTCTCTGGGGTGCTTAGCATAGAAATTGCTGGCTGATAGAGTAGGTTTATATTTAGTTTAATGGGATCTTTACTAACGTGTTATACCATTTTACACTCCTGTTAACAATGTGAGACAA